TCCATATATAAACCATTCCTTTACTTTTACAATAACGGACTAATACAATATTTGTCCTTTTGTGATTGACTTATTTCACTCAGTGTAATGCCCTCCAAGTTCATTCACGTTTTGTGTTTCAGATTCTAGGTTATTCTTTAGAATTGCATAGTATTCCATTGTGTGTATGCACTGTAGTTTGTTTATCCATTCCTCAGTTGATGGACACCTAGGTTGTTTCCAACTTTTTGCTATTGTAAATATTGCTGCGATGAACATGGGTGTACATATTGTCTGTTCTTGTCATGGCTCTCATTTCTTTAGGATATATACCTAGTAATGGAGTGGCTGGATCAAATGGTACTTATAACTTTTTAGGGAATCGCCATACTGCTTTCCACAGTGGTTGTACCATTTTACACCCTCACCAGCAGTGTATGAGAGTCCTAATCTCTCTGCATCCTCACCAGCAATTGTTACTTTCTGTCTTGTTGAACTTTGCTGCTAATGCTGGGGCAAGACAGTATCTCATTGTTGTTTTGATTTGCATCTCTCTAATGGCTAATGATCATGAGCATTTCTTCATATGTTTGTTGGTTGCCTGAATGCCCTCCTTGGTGAAGTGTCTATTCATGTCTTCTGCCCATTTTTTAATTGGATTATTTGTCTTTTTGTTATTGAGGTGTTGGAGTTTTCTATAAATTCTAGGGATAAGTCTCTTGTCAGATACGTCATTGCCAAATATTCTTTCCTAATCTGTAGGTTCTCTTTTAACTCTTTTGGAGCAGTCTTTGTAAGCACATAACATTTTAGTTTTTAGAAGGTGACATTCATCTAGTTTCTCTTCTGCTGTTTGTGCATTTTGGGTTATGCTTGATAATCTATTTATGCTATATATTAGGGCTCCTAAATTTGCCCCTAGTTTTTCCTTGAGGAACTCTATAGTTTTAGGTTTCAAATTTAAGTCTTTCTTCCATCTGGAGTTAGTTTTTGTGTATGGTGTAAGGTACAGATCTTGTTGCATTTTTCTGCAAATGGACATCCAGTTTTGCCAGCACCATTTATTAAACAAATGTTCTCTTCCCCATTTAATGGATTTTGGCTCTTTGTCGAAGATCAGCTGACCATAAGTCAGTGGATCTATTTCTGGGTTTTCAATTCTATTCCATTGGTCTATGTGTCTGTCATTGTACCAATACCAGGCAGTTTTGACTAATGTGGCTGTATAGTAGGTTTTGATATATGGCAGTGTGAGACCTTCTACTTTGTTGTTCTTCTTCAATAGAGCTTTGCATATCCAGGGTCTCTTTCCTTTCCATATAAAGTTAGTGATTGGTTTTTCCATATCTTTAAAGAATGTTGATGGGATCTGGATTGGGATTGCATTGAATGTACAGATTACTTTGGGTAGAATTGACATTTTCACAGTGTTCAATCTTCCTATCCACGAGCATGGGATGTTCTTCCATTTATGTAGATCTCTT